GGGGCGCTGGCCACGGGGTGGGGAGGGGCCACTTTTCCCATGCTCAGCACCAGCTCGTTCCCTGCCAGTGAGCAGGGTGTCAGGGCTGTGCACTGCCCTCCACCTGTACCGTGGGGCTGGGGGGCACTGGGAGTGAGCGGAACTGGTGTCCGGGGCCAGCACCAGCAGGGTCCAGAGCAGGGCGACAGGGGTACAGGGTTCCAGCTGGCAGGGGCTCTATAGAGCCGGCCCAGCTCAGCACTCTCCCTGCTGGTGCAGCCAGGGGGCAAAGCACCTGTCAAGGGGCAGGGCTACCCATGCAGCCCTCGACAGCTTGCCAAAACTGGGTAAGCGGCCCTCCGCCCAAAATAATTGCCTGCCCCTGGTATAAACAGTATACCTGTTGCACTTTGAGCATGTAGAAAGCACTCTAAAGCTGTAACTGAACAGACATTCAAGGCTCTTAGAATGCTTTAAAGATGGCAGATCGCACTTTAAGTTAACACTCGATGGATGTGTACTAATGTAAAGCACTTTATGTTAGAGCGCTTTATCCAATATGCATGCCAGATCTCATCGAGCTTAGAGTGAGATCTCCATCATCCCAGGCACTGTTGCGCAGGGCCGCACTCTAGCCACAGGCTGAGCTCGCTGCACTGTCCAAGCTCCAAGCTGGCCCCACCCCCTCGGCTGTCACTCACCCGAGTCACTGACAGCCTGATCCCAGCCCCACCTTCTCCCTCCAGCCAGCTGTGAGTCTGGGGGAGAAGCTGTCTGGGGTCTATGCTCCCCAGGAACACCCCTAGTGGCCAATGCAGGCAGACTCCAAGACCCCTCAGCAAACAGTATATGTCTGTTCAGCGAGCTCCTGCTTTAACAAATTGCACTTAAGTAAGGTGTGATAAGTTAGAGCACTTCTGCAAGGGGCTTTTTGAACATCTGTCCTTAGCCAAAGGGACCAGGAATTAAAAAGCAGCATATGCAGAGGTGGATTAAGATTCACTGGGGCCTTGGGCCAAGATTCATTGGGGCCTTTGCCACACACAAAACTGAACAAAACAACTGCCTTAGGCAAATTACTCAGATGCATGGGATCACCATAAACATATAACACCACAAAAGCATCCCCCAGTGCTTCAAAACGGTGGCAGGGTGCTTGAACTAAAGTCTGTTGAATGAACTTTAGTTCAAGTGGTGCCACCACCATTTTTAAGCACAGGGACACTGACACATGAGAGACCATGGCACTTTAATTAGAGTTCTCAGAGCCACTGTAATTAAAGTGCCACCCCCACACTCCAGAGCACATTTAAAAGTGCCAGAGGCAGCTGCCTATACCTGTCCAGCAGGGCTAAGGCTGAGGGGGAAGGTTCCTGGCTGCCCAGGGCTAGAAGGTCTCTGGGCCAGGCTCTCAGCCAACCGCAGCAATGTTGCATGACCTGTGACCTGACCCATTTGCATGTCTGCGTCTGTGTGTCTGTATGTCTCTGTGTCTGCCACTCACTCCCAAACCACAGCCCCCCTCCCCCCCCACCCTAATGTTGCCCCTCACTCCCAACCCACAGTACCCAGCATCCTGACAGGATGTGTGGGGATCACCCCCTCCCCAGGCTCCAAGCTCTACACACACACCCACAGACCCCCAACACCTTCACAAATAACACTCTACCCACACACAGTTCAAAAATAGCCTCTCATGAATTACATACAAAAACTCTTGATTTTTAACAGTTTGTCTCATGATTTTTGACAGGGTAGGGTCGGCAATACTGCACTGATTTTATTCCCCACCGTCAACCTGGCTGACACCTACTATTGTTCCCTGGGACCCTCCTAAAAGCTCATTTCTGCAGAACAGGTTTCTAAAGACTGGCTTTTTCATACCCGAGGGATTTCTGACCATCTTTCATATCTCTCACCATTTTTAATTTCTTTTTTTTTTCCCTGAGAGAGGATGTGGGTGTCCAAAAGCTTATAAATAACAACTTTTTAAAAATTATTTCATTGGTCTAATAAAAGATATCACATCTACTCAAAGACTCCAGCTACAGGTCGGCATTGAGCCCCCTCTACCCCTACCTGTTCCTCGCCCATTGTCTCGTGGCATTTTCATTGACTGGCATTCTAGCATACTGGCGTCGGGGATAACCCATCCTGAAAGAAGAATCAAACTGGCCAGAAGCCATGCTCCGTTTCTCGTATCTTAGGACATAACAAATGCAGTCAGACTAGTATAACCACCACTATAAGCTATCTTTTATTAGACCAATTAAAATAGTTGGAAAATTCTTTTTGAAAACTTTCAGGTACAAACACCCTTGTTCAGGCAGAGAGCATCTGGAGGTGTTTTGTGCTCTTCCTAGATGATCCAAGACGATGGAGGGAGGGGAATGTTGACCTGTATCTGGATTTTTTGGGTAGATGCAATACCTTTTATTAGACCAACTAAACAACTGCCAAAAAGTTGTTATTTGCAAGCTTTTTGACACCCACATCCTCTCCTAGGCAAAAAAAAAAAAAAGAAAGAAATTAAAAATGACAATATTGCTAACCCCACCGTGTCAAAAATCATGAGACAAACTGTTAAAAAACAAGAGATTTGGTATGTAGTTCATGAGAGGCTATTTTTGAATTGTGTGTGTAGGGGGGTGTTATTTGTGAAGGTGTGGGGGGCTGTAGGTGTGTGGAACTGCGCAAAGTAATGTGCCTGCTGCTGCCAGGCTGCGCCCCATCCCCTGCCTGCCCAGCGGCAGCAGGCACATGGCATCACGCAGCTCCCAAGGCAGCAGCAGCAGGGCACAGAGCCCGCAGCAGCCCACCTCCATCTTGCGCACAAATCCAGGGGTGTGCCTCCCCCTGGGTACACACAGTGGCAAGAGCCCCCTGCACTCCTGGATGAGCTGCCTAGGTTCCAACCGTCCCAACAACCCGCCCCGGGACCTCATTCACCGCAGCCCCCGCCCCACTCCCTCCCGCACTGTGGGAGCCTCTATCTGCCCCCCACCACACCTCTTCCCTCTCCTCCCAATCCTTCCCCTCCACAGACTTATCTGCTGGGTGGTCTGTGTGTCTGTGTCTATATGTGTACTCAGCCACACCCCCCCCCCTCCAATAATATTTTCTCCCTCCACCTATGGCGATGGCAGAGATGAAGCCAGAGGGACAACAGAAGCAGAGCAGAGTGGGAGACAGAACAGGAGCAGCTGAAGAAGGATTGTTGGGAGGGCAATGAAAGGTTGGCCCACTGGGAGTAGCATGGCAGAAAGATACAGAAGAGACCACAGGATCCTGATCAAGAGTGGAGACTATGGATAAGGGCAATGTTAACCGGTGACAGGGTGCAAAAGGAATCTATGATGAACAGATACAATTCTGTGAAGGTACTGTTCAAGATATTGGTTGTACAGATGGAAAATCTCACCAGCATGATTGCTTTCTCCAACTGAAAGACATGCAACTAACTTACTGGAACAAAGAAGGATATGACATATTTTGTGAGAAATATGCAGAGAAAGGGGGGAGGGAGGAATTAAAAGGGTTAAAGTTTGTAGCAGCAGAAAAGCCAAGGGAA